ATCAAAGTAGAACTACTGTATCATAAAAAATATATTCGCGTACTCCCTGTACATCATACGTCGAACTCGCACAAGTGCCCTTAATTCGTTGGTCAAACAAAGACGCCTATAAATTATTTTGTCACAGTTGTAACGACTGAGAAACAAAATTCGAAAGATCGTGAACGTCGTTCTGAAGAAACGCGAAACACGCAACCGTACAATTACGTATGCTCGGGATCGGCGACGGCGGCGCGAGTTATAAACGAGATGGAAAGTGAACTCACAACCGGCAAAAATAATATATTCTACTCGTACGCGAACGAACGCGAGCAAACGGAGTGTCCAAAGGAGAACGAGCGCAACGAGAGACAAGGTTGTCTCACCGGTGATTGAATTTTCGGCGGCAGCCGAAGGATCGATTTTGCGGCATAATTTTTAATGAGCCGTGGTCACATTTTCGAGAGAGAGAGAGAGAGAGAGAGAGAGAGAGAGAGTGAGTCTCCGAGCGAGTTTGGCCAATGGTGGATGCAATTCCACGCGAGAGTGTCCACTTGCTTTTACCAGCAGGACCGGGCAGCAGGCCTGTTCGCTGGATGGTGTATCATTATGGATTCGCGTGCGCTGCCCCCCGGTCATTCTCGTCTCATCTTGAGCAGGTTTCCCTCTTCTTCTATCGGCCGCCAACCGCCACCCTACCTCGTCACTTCCTGCGCGAGCGTGTGCGTGAGCGCACGCGTACACGGCCCGGCGAATCTCTTCTTTTTTTTCGCCGCTCCGCGGAGAATTGACCTAACGTCCACCGAGAGCGAATCCAGTCAGGTATCAAACGCCATCTGATCGCGCCGAGAACCTCGCAAACCCCCATTCAAGAACGGGCCACCGTGTCACACACTTTTATTTCGAATATCGTAGAATGAAGATCGCGGATAGAAACTAGAGATCGCGAGTTTCGAGCGTGTATTAAAATACAGAGGTACACAGACAGATGTATCAAGGGATTAGGGATAACATTTTCTGCTAGTTCAAAGAACATTTCGTTCATTTGAAGAAGCTTGGCTACTTTCTCATACGAGATGTTTTCAATTGTTGGAAATAGAAAAATGCTTTTCCACTATTATATCGGTATAAACGCGCCTGATGCGTAATTTCGATTCAATTTTACACTTTAAATCCCAACAATCTTGATTAAATATATTTAATCGTTTATTTAAGATGTTTTTGTTGTTTCTGATCAATATGAACTTCACCTTTTGTCGCGCACTTGGATTTTATTTTAAGAAAACTTGGACTTTATTGAAGAGTATAAGCACATTTTCTATTCTGGTCATGATCAAAGCTGATCATTAAATAAAATTCAAAATTTATTTATCTATATTTTTTGCTGCAATTAGAAAGAAATTAAAATATTGAAATATTTTCATAATCTATCGTTCGATTTTATTAAAATAATGCATCGGGTGCCACTTTAATCGAGACCGAGATTTCTTCATTTTTGGTAGAGAGAATTCTGATTTATCTTGTTTTCTGTCATATAATCTTTATTTTATTTTCATTTTACACTTTTATTTTCAATAAGTTTTTTAACAACTTTTACGTATAAACTATTTTTAGAAAAAATTTTTTCTTTAGTAGTATCTAATATTTCGTATTTCACAATAATAAATGCGTAACACGAGAGACAATTGCCAAAATGTAATCGTTGTGTTTTAGTCTAGGTGATCGCAGTATAAGAAACGTACCTAACTCGTCATCTTTTAACGTTACATCGATATATATTTACCCTGATGAATTTAATCTTCTTTTTGTTTGCTGTTGCTAAATTCAGGATGAACTGCTGATAACTGATGATAATTGAGAACGTGTAACGCGAGAAGCAATTACTAAAAGTAGATCGACGGAACTGCTTGTTTCCAATAATTGCATCGTCCGTGCCAGAAGGTTATTTCTTCGATCATACTTACTCGGCCGTTCAAGGTGTTATGTGATTCATGTAGCTTTTAATCAACTTTCCGTAATTCGACTCTTAGTCCTTGCTGTTAATATTTCATGCACCTATACATAATTTCAGAACGCGTAAAATGATAAAAAGAAAAAAGAAAAAAAATGGTACGAGCCTTGGCTTTTTATTTTTCCTGTTTTCATCAATTCTTGGAATGATATGTAACATGACAGGTAGCTACGTGCACGATTAATACATATAAAGTTGCTCGACTTATAACAAGTGCGTAGGCAGGCAGCATGAAACATTTGTTTTGAATGATCATTTTGCCATTTTTAAATTCAACGTTACAATTATAATAAAAGTGTCATTGTTTCGTTGCTTGTTGCTGTTTTTAAAATTATCGAAAATATCTCTGCAAACGTAATAACTTCTTAACTAACAATTTAATTTAATCAGGAATTTTTAACTTCATTTAACCAGAAGAATTTGCACAGACACAATCTCGGTTCGCTTCGTTTCAATAACTTCATTATTGTTTCAAATCAGAGTTGAAATATGAGCATATATCGTCGAGAAATAAAGCCCCGTTAAGTCTCGACTGCGATACTCGCAGAACGAGAATCCACAGCCACGATTTATCGTAAAAAGAAAAAAAGTGATTTTATCTGAATCCGCGAATAATAGGTTCCTTCCGACAGCAGTGGATCGACGGTAGAAACGGCGGACGCGGGGTACCAGATTCAAAAGGCCCGTTTGGATAGGAAATAATGGGAGGCCGTCCCATTCTTTTATGTACCTTATTTGTTAAATTCACCATTCTGTTCTTCTCTGGTTAGTCGAAAATCACGACGATAGGTTGATCCTTTTTTTTTACACGAGAAGATCCTCGGTCTCGATAAATCCTGGATGATCTACGGAGTCGTCGATCTTCCTTTACGGACTAGCCTGTGTCTTTGTCGTTGATTCAGAGTTTAATCTGTTCGATGGTTCACAGATTAAACCTAGAAATGATCGACGACTTAATCATAACTGTTGTCAAAGTATCACGTTGCTGGCTTTCATACGTTATATAAGCAAGTTGTATGTTTTATTCATTCGATTGTATACTATATTTCTTAACTCGTGTCGGTGGTAGTGAATCTCATATTTAAATATTTACGCTGCAACCTCGTTTCCGTTTTTTATCGTGTTATACACAGAGTATGAAATTCATTTTTCAACTGTGAATTTACAACAAATTTAAAAGACCGCATACAATATTCGAAACTGCCTGTGTAGAATATCTTGTAATAATACATTGATAAATGAAACGAATCTCTATTTTCTTCCAGTGGTTATTTCCAGTTTATCTTATTTCAAAATGAAACACTGGCTCGGCCATGTTACAGCAAAATTCATCTCGCAGCCTGTTCTTGTTCGAGTACGAAACTTGTTATTTTTGCACGTTAGCAGAAAAGAATCCGAGAAGATTTCAGCCGTTAATTAATTGATACATCAACGAAGGACAAATACAAACAACTTGTACGAGTGCTTGTTATCAGTCGGTGTAGCAAAATTAATCTTGGGAAACAATAGAGGAACAATGTAGAAGACAAATTTTCCTTTCCATTCGCAGCCAACCCTCAAATAGCGTTATACTCCGGTAGGAAGCACATGAACATAGCGAAGATCGTTTCCAGCGATAAATCGAACACACTTTCGGTATGTACGCCGAGGAAAGATGAGTGTAGGCCCAACCAATAGGGTTCCAACAACACCATCTTGATAATAATACCCCGCTGTTAAACAATTTGACAACGAATTCGTCTTCGAGAAGCTTACCAGCTATTACTTTTTCAGTCGTTAGACAGCGTGTAGCTTTTCTAACGAGTATAAGCATTAAATTTAGGTGGAACTTCCTTCTCGGAAATATAGAGCGATTAATTTATATTTCTACAATAATTGTTATCATTTTTTACTTATCCGAAATGATATAATTTTTTTCTTTCATTGTTTCGATATTACCACGGACATGGTTCAACAGTCCACTTTCCTGTGAATAGTAGTGTTTTAATTTTCAGCATTACTCGTAATGATACCATTTTTTTTTT